ACCATCAACTGTAGATCAGAGGCTTTACTCCAACTGATGCCAGGGCATTTTCTACTCCACTGGCCACAGTCTGCACACCTAAAGCCTGAAGCACAGTAAACTGACCCCTTGCTTAGAAAGTCCAGAGACCCCTGTTCTAGTAGGATCCCATGGGTATGGTGTATACATAGTTACATTGATTCAAGCTGAAACTATGTAACTATGTAAATACACCCTGTTCCAAATTATTATGCAAATTCCATTTAAGTGTCACAAACATTAAATATTTAGTTTTTCAGTTTAACTCATGGATGGCATTATGTGTCAGGGCTCTTTTGATCACTGAAAACAATCTCGGACACCTGTGATAATTAGATTGGCCGATGAGCCCAATTTAAGGAAAAACTACTAAAGGACGGTGTTCCACATTATTAAGCAGAGCACTATTTTCAAGCAATATGGGGAAGAAAAAGGATCTCTCTGCTGCCGAAAAGAGTGAAATAGTTCAATGCCTCGGACGAGGTATGAAAACATTAGATATTTCACGAAAACTTAAGCGTGATCATCGCACTATGAAGAGATTTGTGGCTGATTCAGAGCACAGACGGGTGGTGCAGATAAAGGCACATTGAGGAAGATTTCTGCCAGATCCATGCATCGGATCAAGAGAGCAGCTGCTAAACTACCATTACATAGCAGCAAACAGATATTTGAAGCTGCTGGTGCCTCTGGAGTCCCACGGACATCAAGGTGTAGAGTCCTCCAGAGTCTTGCAACTGTGCATAAACCTTCTATTCGGCCACCACTAACCAATGCTCACAAGCAGAAATGGCTGCATTGGGCAGAAAAATACATGAAGACTAATTTTCAAACAGTCCTGTTCACTGATGAGTGCCGTGCAACCCTGGATGGTCCAGATGGATGGAGTAGTGGATGGTTGGTGGACGGCTACCCTGTTTCAACAAGGCTGCGACATCAGCAAGGCGGTGATGGAGTCATGTTTTGGGCTGGAATCATGGGAACAGAGCTTGTCGGCCCCTTTAGGGTCCCCGCAGGTGTAAAGATGACCTCTGCAAAGTATGTGGAGTTTATGACTGACCACTTTCTTCCCTGGTACAGAAGGAAGAACTATGCTTTTCATAATAAAATCATCTTCATGCATGACAATGCACCATCTCATGCTGCAAAGTATACCTCTGCATCAATGGCTGTTATGGGGATAAAAGGAGAGAAAGTCATGGTGTGGCCTCCATCCTCCCCTGACCTCAATTCTATTGAGAACCTTTGGAGCATCCTCAAGCAAAAGATCTATGAGGGTGGGAGGCAGTTTACATCCAAACAGCAGCTCTGGGAGGCTATTCTGACATCTTGCAAACAAATTCAAGCAGAAAACTGTCCAAAAACTCACAAGTTCAATGGATGCAAGACTTGTGAAGCTGCTATCAAATAAGGGGTCCTATGTTACAATGTAACGTGACCTGTTCAAATGTTTAAAAAGTTAAAATGTTGTTAAAAATTTGATTGAAATAGCTTTTGATTTCAGTAAATATGCTGCAAACACAACAAATGACAATTTTCAGTTCTTTACAACCTATAAAGTATTTTGAAACTTACTGTGCGGAATAATTTGGAACAAAAATCTTGTTATCATTAGGAGGTTTGTTCAATAAAATGTGAATTGTACACTTAATAGTTGATAACATGAGAATTATGCTGACTGTTATTTACATCAATTATTTAGGTAAATGAGAAAAATATCATTTGCATAATAATTTGGAACAGGGTGTGTATATATACCTGGAATTCTGCTTTAAGTCTACTCTTACCTTCAAAGGCAGATCAATGCTACTTCTAATGTAAAGTCTTGGTCTAGAGTATGTCTTCATACTTTCCTGTTCAGTTTTAATTTTGTTCAGGCCTTTAGATCACTTACAGTTTGATGATTTCCACGTAAAAGTAGCAATTTGCATATAAAACATGTAATCATGTACTGTGTGAAGATCCATTTACCTTTGTCGAGTAAGTCTCTCTTTGAAATCCTCCAACCTCCCAGATAATTACTCTGCCTTCTTGAGGAACAACAACCTTGCTTTTTTAATTGACTAATCACGAGGTTTATTGTCATAACAATATTTTTCATTGTTGATGTTACGGAATAACAGCTTGTCTGGTTCCAATCTGTGCCAAATAGGTTCCATTCTACCTTCTCTCCATCTGTGACGATAGAAGTGTTTTTCTCTCAAGTCAGGTGGGAAGAATTTGTTCTGTGACAATTTCGTCAAAATCAAATCCCTTCTTCCTTCTTAATATCCAATACGCTCCACTACACAGACATTCTGGTTAGTTTCAGGAACACACAAGTATTTTTCATTTACAAAAAATATTTTCTCAGATTGAGTTTACAGTTCCTATACCTATTTTTTCTTTCCTTTAACTTCATCATAGTGACACTGAAGTCTTTCCAAAAAGAATATCTGTCATCTTGACCATTCAGGACAAAGTGATAGACCTTTTGCTTCCAGAGCCATTTGTTCATTTTCTGCACACATGCTAAACATATTATTTTTTTAGATTAATATTCAGTGTAACCTGGACCATAGATGATAACTGCTGTGGAACTTCTTCATTTGTTGCTGCTGTGTGGACAGGTTTAAAGCAAATATTTATTAATTCAGAAGTGCACCAAACATTTTTACGAAGACCACTTGTAATGCTTGTCTATGATGTTTCTCTAGTGCAGGGGGCAGCCATCTTGACTGGTTCTAAGGGACAGTGATTGATTGATGCAACAAAGCATGGAGAATGAACTTGGCTAAGGGTGAAAATGAGCTCTGTTGTGCCTTCAGCCTCCAGAAAGAAGGGAAGTGTCAGGAATGGACTCAGCACTGGTGGTGGGACTCACCTGCCGTGTGGGCTGCAGTACCAGGGCTGACCGGCGGGTGCTCTCAGCAGCCAGAAGCTCACTCCTGCAGTTGGCCAACACCTGGGGCTGATTGCAGGAGGTGTATTTAAGGAATGACCAGGCCTGTGATCAGGGCCTTGGTGTAATGTTTCCCATGAGCCCCTGTACCTGGTATCCTATGTTCCTGCTTATCTGCCTAGTTGCTGACCCTGCTTTGATCCTGACCTCTGCTGACCATCTCCTGTTGAACCCCTGGCTTGCCTGACCATCCTTCTGCCTGATCCTCTGTACCGCGCTGCCCGTGAGTTACTGAACCCGGCTTGTGACCCTGACTTTCTCTGCCTGCTCCTCCGGTACCTCACTGCCCTCACGTTGCTGACCTGGCCTGCCTGACTACGCCTGACCTACCCAGACGATCCATCCATCCCGCACGGATCCAGTCACTACTGTCCAAACCTGCCAGCCCCTTCACATCAGGCTTTCCCCCGGTACATACCCTTGGCGGACCCCTCTACCACAGTTTGGTGCACTCAAGGGCCACGACCTGGTCTCAGTCCTGCGCCAAGTCCATCCCCACCATCAGGGGCTCTGCTGAAAGGCAGACTGGGGCTTAGACTCCGCGCCCTGGGGAATCCTGTTCTGTGGGTCACTAGAGATCCCACCGGGCGGTGCCTGACAGTACCTTACGGCCCGCCTGACCATTCCACCTCTCCAGCCCTGACTATGCCTGTGTTCCTGAAGCCTGCTACTTCCCTGTGTCAGTCCACACATTTCTGGTCATACCCGGATCCCTAACAGGAAGTTGCCACTTTGGGGACCATGAATTGGACGCAAGGGGGCACCAATCTCAGTGTAGAGGGTTAAAAATGTATAGGTAACAAGAGGTGTAAAAAACGACTCACAAACGTAAGAAGTGTTAAAGCATGGGAAAAGAATGCCTTTGGTAAGCCCTCAGTCTGCCAGTGATGTGTCCTGGTCATGCAGGATGAGCATAGATGCAGCCGTCAGTACTCAGCAGTGCAGAGAGTTTTGAAAATGGCACCGAAACCAGCGTGGACTGCAAGCAAGTCGGGACCTTGGCAGGCAACCAATGGCAAGGCAGGAGCAAGGTCAGGTGACGCGTTTCTAAGCTCTTGCTTCTTCTTTAGACCTCATTTGGGGACTATGTGCTGCTGCAACCATTTTCTCATGCTCAGCAACCAAGAGAGAGCACCACAAGGTAGTAGTGAAGAGGTATCAGTGGTGTGTGGTCAGAGTATGCTGGAGCAATGGATGCTGTTGCTTCCTAGGAGAAGATGACTGATCAGAAACTTCTGCTGCCATTATACTCTGTGCAATGCTACATGTGAGAAAATGGTTCTGGAAGCAAGCAAGTGTGGAAAAAGACTGAGCTTCTGATGCTGTATGAATGGAACCCTGCCATAGCTGACCACAGTGAGGTGAGAAATCAGAGAAGTAAAGAAAATGAGAACCTTCTTCCTCTGAGGGTGTGATTTGGATGCATGGTGAGATTAGACTGCATTAGACAGAACTCCCACCACTTGTAAGGAAAGAAAAGAGGGACTGTCTCAGCAAGTCTGAAAAAGAGAGATCATCAGCATTTTCTATACCTATCTGGCTGAATCAGTACATCCAGATCCAGTAGAGGATGCTTTAAGTATGGCAAGAGACTAACATCATGCAACTTAATCCATTGTCTGCTTGGAACTGTTGTGCTTCTTCAAGGGCCCCAAATTTGCCAGCCAGTGTTTTTTTTTATCAATCACTGCTCAGTTGGTTAAAACTGAAGCTGTTATAACAAGTTAGAACTATTTTTATATACTGTTGCCAGGTAAATGCAGCTCATTCTGTTAATTACTGTTGGTATGAATACTTTAGGTGTTTAATTATATCTCACAGAGTAATGTTATTGTCTTATTGATTGTATCATTCTTTGCCAAAACTCCTTTACCAGGGGCATCTCATGGGGCCCCCTACTGACCCCGGGCCCTCGGTCAGTGCCCGAGTTTTCCAAATGGTCAGTCCGCCCCTGATTGTATCATTCCTCCTTTTTAGACATAGTCTAATAAATTCTCTGAAATACCTCAATGTGTGATGGTGCTGGGCAACGGACTCATGGGGGGCCCCCTGGCAATAGGGGATCATGGGGCCCCTGTGTCCTTGCCCAAACTCAAAAAAGCCTATGAAAAAGGTACCAGGGGCATCTCATGGGGCCCCCTACTGACCTCAGACCCTCGGGCAGTGCCCGAGTTTCCAAATGGTCAGTCCGCCCTGGTGCTGGGTGAGCGAAGTATGTCATCTTCAGGTGTGAAGAGAAATGACAAAACAGTTCAGCGTCTGCTGCCTTTCTGATATGGCCTTGAGGTTGTTTCCACATCAGGGGCGAACTGACAACTCATGGGGCCCCCGGGCAATAGGGGATCATGGGGCCCCTGTATCCTTGCCCAAACTCAAAAAAGGTATTAAAAAGGTACCATAGGCATCTCATGGAGCCCTCTAATGACCCCTGGCCCTCGGGCAGTGCCCAAGTTTCCAAATGGTCAGTCCGCCTCTGTTCCACATGTATACTTGGAATCATAGAAAAGACTCAAACTCAAAAAAGCCTATGAAAAAGGTACCATAGGCATCTCATGGGGCCCCCTACTGACCCCGGGGACCTCGGGCAGTGCCCGAGTTTCCAAATGGTCAGTCCGCCTCTGTTCCACATGTATACTTGGAATAATAGAAAAGAAGGAGTGCCCGATGTCCAAAAGAATGCACTTTTGATAGTAGATTAAGAGGCATTTATTGACAGTAATGACAAGTTCATCAAGCCAACGCATTTCAGGAAAAAAGACTCTCCCTTCTTCAGAGCTATTGAACAAATAAGAAAAATATACAGAGAAACAAATATATGAGAAAGAAAAAAAAAAACCAGTATGCGTATTAAAAAAAAACAACAACACACACACACATATATATATATATGTGAATACATTTTGTTGATTATGTAGAGGCAAAAATACCAAGGTAAAATATGTCTTAAAAAAAAAAAATACAAAATATATATATATTAAAGTTTCAAAAAAAATATATAAATCAAGAGTTCCTGATCATGATCAGGGGCGGACTGACCATTTGGAAACTCGGGCACTGCCTGAGGGCCCGGGGTCGGTAGGGGGCCCCATGAGATGCCCCTGGTACCTTTTTCATAGGCTTTTTTGAGTTTGGGCAAGGACACAGGGCCCCCTTGATCTCCTATTGCCCGGGGGCCCCGTGAGTTGTCAGTCCGCCCCTGATCATGATCAAAATAATCCGAATAGAAATAATGAAAACAGAAATAAAATCAATAGTAATGATAATAATGAAATCATTGAGCTGACAGGAAATATGCAGATAAACCCGATAAAAATAAAATAAAATTAAATAAAAATATTTGACTAGTACTAGTGACACCAACACTAATAACACACTAATAAAGGACTCTGCAATGGAAATGTGTGTGGATTGCGCTAATAGGTTGGGTCTTAAGGGATATAAATCAGTGTGTAGATATTATAATGACATAGATGATGTTAAATAATGTAAAGCCGCGTGTGAATGTGAAGCAAAAAATAGTTAAGGACTAATCTGTTGCTGCGTGCTATTAAATGGGAAAATTCCCACGATGGTTATATATTTTCCAGGTTTCTGTAGGAAAATGAAGCATTGAAAAAGGAAAGTTAGGGGGATAGAAAGAGGCTATGGCTAAAGGGAGGAGGGGATCGATGTAGTTCATTAGGGTGATAAAAAATTAATAGAAAGCGGGGGGCTTTGGGATCCCTAAAAAGTCAGCTGGAGAAGGATGCAGATTTGAAGTGTGGGGAATGGATGCTCTTGTGATACAGGAAAGGGTTAACGTGGACCATAAAGAGAGATGTGAATGAAGGGTTAGCAGCTGTGGTGGAGGGAGGGAGGAATGGAGGGTGAAGTGTGGTGGAATATGGTCAGGCTGGAATGCTGGTGGATTGTCTTGCGCACAGAAGAATGACAGTTCAGGTAGAATAGAGTGACAGCTAGCACAAGGGGGAAGGAAAGACTAAACTGTGTCAGAAGCAGGGGCGGACTGACAACTCATGGGGCCCCGGGCAATAGGGGATCATGGGGCCCCTGTGTCCTTGCCAAAACTCAAAAAAGCCTATGAAAAAGGTACCAGGGGCATCTCATGGGGCCCCCTACTGACCCCGGGCCCTCGGGCAGAGCCCGGGTTTCCAAATGGTCAGTCCACCCCTGGTCAGAAGGCTTTTAGATAAATGTGATCTGGGCGACTGTAGAGCCACCTGATCACTGGTACTCGCAATGTGCCACCCCCTGGTCTAATAGATCCCTGATGTTTCAATAAAGAGTACTTTTTTTTATATTATATAAGCCAGGAGTCTGCTAAACATTTCAGGACCAGGACCACATTGCATATTTTACACATTTTTTGAGTGCCAAATGAAATCAGTTTTATAAATGAATGTGTGAAATGTAATTGAATAAATTTTAATTGGCATTTGTATTGTAATTAGCCAGATATTATTTGGAACAACATGAAAAACCCTTCAGTAACACGAAGCAAAGAAATTCCAAATAAACTTGAACCCATCAGACTCTCTTGTAAGGCCTCATTTACACCTGAGTGAATTTCTGCTTGAAGTTTGTGGCTCCAAAATTCTCAACAACCCAAATCCCATCCATTTCAATGGCCCGTCTTCACAACTGAGCATATTGTCGCCTGTAGCAATACACCTGTCGCTCAAAAAAGTACATGAGCTTCTTTGTGGCAGATTAGAGGAATATTTGGCTCCATAGACTTCAGTAGGAATGCCTGAAAATATGCAACAAGAGCTATTTGCCACACATTTTCTGCTCAAACAGCAACTCCCCACCACTTTTTCCTCCCACCTAGTGCTTTCTATCTGCTAAACAAAAATGCCTGAAGCTGTAATACACTTTTAAGGCTCCTTGCACACTAACATTTTTTTTTTAAACCACCTCCCTTCTGGCCAGATGGTGGCAGTGCAGGGTAGGGTGGCCATTTATAAACAGCCTCCCCGCCCCCTGATTGTGCACGCTCCCTGGGAGTGCGCAGCACCGCGATCCGGTGCCCGCTGTGTCCTCTGGACACAGTGGAACACCGATCGTTGTACGGGACCTCTGTACGAGGTCCCGATCATGTGATCACTGATTGGCCAATCAGTGATCACATGCAGAGTAGTAAGCAAGATGTCATTTCTGACATCATTGCTTACTACGTGTGAAATCTGTGAATGATCACAGAGGTCACATGGTACAGGGCTATTCACAACAGCCTTGTACCATGTGACAAGCTGTGACCAATCATAGCTCACACAGTATTTCTCAATGGCTGCAAGAATGCAGACAGAGAGAAGGAGAAATGATTGCTTTTACAGCCTTTATGGGTGTAAAAGCAAGCAATGTAAAAAAATCTTCATCACCCCCCCACAAGTAGTTAGTGACACTGTACTGCTAGGGTGACAGTATGTGGAAAAAAAAACCCATAAATAATAATATACAAAATAAAATAAAAATGTAAAAAAAAGTTTTAAAAAATTATAATTTTTGGTTATAAACTAATTTGGGTTATTTTTTTTTTTACTAAAAAGATAACGGAATAAATTTTGGCCAAGATTTATGATGAAATATTATTTATTTGCAAAATTTTATAAGAAAAACACTTTTTTTTTTTCAAAATTTTTGGACTTTTTCATTTATATAGCAAAAAAATAAAAATCCCAGTGGTGAATAAATACCACCAAAATAAAGCTTTATCTGTCTCAATAAAATGCTAAAAAATGCATATGGGTACAGTGTTGCATGACCGCGCAATTGTCATTCAAAGTGTGATTGCGCTGAAAGCTGAACATTGGCCTGGACAGGAAGGGGGTGAAAGTGTCCGGACTGGAAGTGGTTAGGATAAAAAATGCTGGTAATAACATTTTTAGTAGCATTTTACTAGAGTTTAGGAGCGTCCACATTTTGTGTTTTTACAGTACATGTGGAAAAACGCTCCAAAAAATTATATTTTTTCTGCTCCTAGAGCAGGAGCAGGGTGTCAAACTGGTGGCCCTCCAACTGTTGAAAAACTACAAGTCCCATCATGCTGCTTCATGGTCCCCAGTTGTGAACTATGGACTGTTCCAGTCTACCTTTATCTGTGCTCATTCTGCTTCATGGTCCCCAGCTGTGAACTGTGGACTGCTCCAGTCTACCTATATTAATGCTACTACTACTAAGAAGGGAATTGGCCTCTGCTAGCAATACAGTCCACTTTGGAGTATCCTGCGTCACCCCAAATTCTTTCTTAACCTCCCTAGCGGTCTGATTATGTCCATATTTCTGTGCTCAAAGCGGTACATTTTTTTGCATGGAAATATGTAGTTTTTTTTTATTGTAGGCCTGTAATTTTTAGGAATAACCCACTGAAATCTGTCCGAACAAGAGTCTAGTAAACATCCCGGGTATGATAAAATTTGAAACACGAAATCATAAATTATAATTTAATAAATAATCATAAAAAATAATAATATAATAATAATACATTTAATTCAATAATATAATCAAACCAAAAACACTGAAATTTGAAATAGAGCGCCAAGTTCGCACATCGCTGAGCAAAGTCGCAAAATCGTTTTCAGTGTCTGATGAGGAATTTCCCCCACGAATCATTATCACTCAATTCTGCAAGTGGTTCTGATTTACTATCGCTGTTCTCTAGCCGGTCTAAACCCGCTTTTGACCTAAAGGGACGCTTTTTGGACGTTTCTCAGTTTCCAGGCAGAAAGAACAGTAAAAATGCAGGCAGGGCGCAGGACAAAGCACTCGGGACAAAATGTATGTGAAATGGTTTGATACAGTAATGTTTTATTATATGATTTTAGTGAATTTAGTGAATGTCACTTTTTAAAAGTTCCGTCCCACATACGTCCCGACGCTCACAGAACCGGAAGACAGATGCCGGCATCGGCCAGAGAACATGGCCGGGGACACTGCAGGAGGGACATCGCGAGAGCGCAGGACAAGGTAAGTGATCCAGGGATCCCGGAGCAACGCTGCAGGGTAATCCCAAGTGTAGCTCGGGGTTACCGCTTTTGGCACTGATAATTAACCCCGAGCTACACTCGGGAATACCGCCAAGGAGGTTAAGCTCTGCTAGCAAATACAATTCCAAAAAGACATCGCCTAGACCAGGGGTGCCAATCTGGTGGCCAAACTGGTGGCCCTCCAGCTGTTGCAAAACTATAAGTCCCATCATGCCTCTGCCTTTGGGAGTCATGCTTGTAACTGTCAATCTTGCAATGCCTCATGGGACTTGTGGTTTGGCAGCAGCCGGAGGGCCGCCAGTTTGACACCCATGTTAGAGGATGAAGTAAAAAAAACGCTAGTAGCCTAAAGTAGTGTGCATGGACACAAAGGATAACAGCATGTACAGGGGCGGACTGACCATTTGGAAACTTGGGCACTGCCCGAGGGCCCGGGATCAATAGGGGGCCCCATGAAATGCCCCTGGTACCTTTTTCATAGGATTTTTTGAGTTTGGGCAAGGACACAGACAGAGGCATGATGGGACTTGAGATATGTGGAAGTGCCATTGAGAATAAATGGCAGTCTTGTGAGTCTCTACAGAGCAGTGCAATTTGGCTGCGGGTGCTGGAACCAGGGGCAGACTGACCATTTGGAAA